TGAGTATAGTTTTCCATACATATCAGTTAAGTCAAACTGGTTTATAATGCTGTTCAAAACTTCTATGTCTTGAGTGATTTTTTAAAAATTAATTGTCCTATCAGTTGCTGAGACAGGAGTGATGGAATCTTCAGGAATAATTGTGGAATTGTCTATTTCCCACTTTAATTCTGTCAATTTTTGCTTTGTGTATTTTAAACCTCTGTTATTGTGATTGTCTTTCTGATAAATTGATCCTGTTTTCATTATGAAATGGTCCTCTTTATCTCTGGTAATACATTTTATTTGGCATCTATGTTATCTGATTATTAATATTTCCACTCTAGCTTTCTTATGCTTATTGTTTACATGCTATGTCCTTTTCTTTATTCATTTATTTTCAGCCTGTCTGTGTCTTTGTATTTAAAGTATGTATCTTGTAGGCAGCCTATAGTTGGGTATTGGTTTTTTTTTTTTTCCTGACATTCTCAGACTTTTAATTGATGTGTTTAAAGAAATTAGTGCATTAATGTAACACCAGTGTAACTATTGCTATGTTAGGTTTGGGTTTATCATTTTACTTTTTTTCTCCTATTTGTCTACTTTTTGTTCCTCTTTCCTTCTTTTCTCTCCTTTTGGATTATTTGAATATAGAATTTCAATGTAATATTTTTGTTGTTTTTTTTTCACCTATACTTATTTGCATTATTCTTTAGTAGTTCCCTGGGGATTACAATATACATCTTTAAGTTTTCACAGGTCTCTTCAGTTAATAATGTATAATATTAAAATCTTGTGTAAAATATTAAAATCTCATATAAAATATTAAAATCTTATATATCCATATCTTCCCCATCCTTTGTGTTATGGTAGTTATATGTATTACATGTACACACCTATAAATCTTACCAGTGTTAACAATTTTCATCTTTATTTTTTTAAATTTTTTTTAATGTTTTTATTTGTAGTTGAGACAGAGACAGAGCATGAGCAGGGGAGGGGCAGAGAGAGAGGGAGACACAGAAGCCAAAGCAGGCTCCAGGCTCCGAGCTGTCAGCACAGAGCCCAACACGGGGCTCGAACTCACGAATCGTGAGATCATGACCTGAGTCCAAGTCGGAAGCTTAACCAACTGAGCCACCCAGGTGCCCCTATAATTTTCATCTTTAAAAATTTAAAGGTTTTTAAGAACATTAACAGGAAACTGCAAAAAGAAAAAAAAGTCTTGAATTCATTCAGATATTTATCACTTCCAGTGATTTTCATTCTTTCTTGAGTATCTGAGTTTCCATCTTCTATAATCTCCCTTTACCCTGAAGAACTTGCTGTGGGACTTCTTAGAACATAGATCTGCTGGCAATGAATTCTTTCAGTTTCCATTTATCTGAAAATGCTTTTTTTTTTTTTTTAAACCTTCACTGTTAGAGGCTACTTTTGCTGGATATAGAATTCCGGATTGGATTTTTTCATTCCGTACTTTAGAGATGTTGCATTCTCTTCTAGTCTCCATCCATGGTCCTTGCCCAGTATAGACCACGTCAGTTTGCTCTTGCTGCTTTCAGTATGTGCCCTTAATCTAGTTTTCAGCAGTTTGATTACGATATACCTTGAGGTGGGTTTCTTAGTGTTTATTTTGCTTGGAATTTGTTAAACATTTTGTTGTTTGCTGTTTCTGTCCTTCATCAAATTTAGGATTGGGGGGGAGGCCTTTATATTTCAGATTTTTTTTCTGCCTTGTCCTCTTTCTTCTTCTGTTCCAACTTAATGTACATTGGACTGGTTGAGGTCATCTAACAAATCCCCAAGGGACTTGGTTAATTTTTTTCCCCCAATTCTTATCTCTGTATTCTTTACCCTGGATACTTCCTCTTGCCCCGTCCTCAGGTTTACGTGTCTTTCCTCCATCATGTCCACGCAGCTGCACCCGTTCGGTGAACTCTTTACTTCCGAAAATGTGTTCTTCAGTTCTGAAATTTCCATTTGGTTCATTTTTATATTGTTTCTGTTTCTCTGCCAGTAATTCCCCCTTCTCCACTGAAATTTTCATTCACTGGAAATAACCTCATTTTCCGTATCTGTTAGTTCCAATATTTTGTTCATCCTGGAGTTGGACTCCATTTATTTTCTTTTCTCTTGAGAATGTGTTCCGCTTGTTGATTCTTAAGTATGTTGAGTAATTTTGGATTATATCCTGGACATTATGAATCTTAAGTTGTGGGGATTTTGTATTCCATGATTTCCCTCTGAGAAGTGTTCTTTCCTTTGTCTTAGCGGCTGCTTTTCTTGGCTGGACTTGAACTGCTAACTGCTTCTTGGGCAGTGCCTCCGATCTCAGTTCTGATCTTCTGCTCTTAGCTGTAACACTTGACTCTGTTCTATGCGGGTGTGATCCACAGGTCAGCCAGAGATGGGATAGACAGAGTTTGGGAATCCCCCCGCTCTGGCTTCTTCCCTTCTGGGATTTCCCCACTCTCTTCAGTGGTCACAGTTTTTGGACTTCACGTTTTGGCTTTCTTAGCACAAAATGGCTGTGGGGTTTTCCCACATGTACCCTTAACCCCACCGCGAGTACCATTTAACTCTGGCTAAAAGCCATGGAAAGGAGTTTCTTGTATATTTTTCCAAGTGAGTGTAAACTCCCCACCAGAGTTTATATACTTGTGTCTCCTCTCCAGTACCTTCAAGTAGTTGCTTTGTGTGTAATTTCCAGGCTTAAAATTGCCTTCTGTAGGAAGGTGCTGTCCACAAGGGGTCTGTCCTACCTGGAAACAGGCGCAACTCTGTGGTACTTACGTTTTATAGTTGGGACGTAGAAGATAATCAAGCAAGAGCACAGTAATGCTATGAAAGGAATAAATAAGGTTGACGTGATCGGAGCACCAGCCTTAGGTAAGGTTGTTAGGAAGGTTCTCTGAAGAGCTCTGTTTGAGCCAACACCTAAGAACAGGAAACAGAACAAGCAAAAAAAGCTTGTTAAGAAATGTTTCAAGCGAAGGCAACAGCAGATACCAAAGAGAGAGAGGTCAGTGTGACTGAAGCATGGAGGGAAAGAAGGGACGATGTGAAATGGGTTTGCAGAGGCCAGGAGACCTTATGGGACACAGGAGGCCTTGGTAAGGAACTGGCGATTAACAGATCCGTAGGAGAGGCTGGGATTGCCATCGAGGTCACGGGGTGCTTAGCAGACAGATCATGTTACTTTGTCAGACTAGCCGGCCCTTAACAGGCATGACTGATACATGGTGTAGTCTTGTTTCGTTTTCTTCCGTTATTTTAACGAAGTAAAAAATCTTATTTATGTGGTCTTAGATTCCACATTGCAGCTAACTTTTATAACGTTACCATCTATCGTGTTTTCATCGAATAACAAAGATTATCCATAAGTATCTGAAGAGGCTATTAAAATACTTCTTCCTTTCCCTACTGCATGTCAGTGTGAGGCCAAATGTTCTTTATATACTTCAACCAAAATAACATAGCACAGCAGACTGAATACATAAACAAATCTGGTTCTTCACTAGTAAGTCAGCCATGAAAGAAAATTTTTAAACAGTCAAAGATGTCAGTCCTTTCACAAAATTATTTTCGTTTTTAAAAAGATAGCAGTTTTCCATAAAAATGGGCTACTTAATATGTGATACTTTTGTTCTTTGTAGCTGAGTCATGCTTACATATTTATAAAATGCTGTTTTAATTTTCAGCACAGCAGATACTGATAGACACAATTCACACAAACAAAAGTTATTTGTGGTCCCCAGTAAGTGTTGCTGATGTGAAGGAGTCCTGAGGCCACAGTGTCTGAGAAGTGCTGTGTTAAGGCTATTTTATGTGGGAAAGATAATACATCACGATAAATAAATAAATTATTTATTTATCACGAGAGAGAGAGAGAGAGAATGTGAGCAGGGGAGGGGCAGAAAGAGACGGAGAGAGAGAGAATCCCAACCAGGATCCCCGCTGTCAGCACAGAGCCTGATGTGGGGTTCGAACTCAAAAAACCATGGGATTGTGACCTGAGCCGAAACCAAGAGTTGGACACTTAACTGACTGAGGTACCGGGGTGCCCCAAGCCTTTTTTTCCCCAAAATTTTTATTTAAATTCCAGTTAGGTGGGGCGCATGGGTGGCCCAGTCGGTTAAGCGTCCAACCTTGGCTCAGGTCATGATCTCACAGTTCGTGGGTTTGAGCCCCGCGTCCAGCTCTGTGCTGACAGCTTGGGGCCTGGAGCCTGCTTCGGATTCTGCGTCTCTCTCTCTCTCTCTCTCTCTCTCTCAAAAATAAACATTAAAAAAAATAACTTCTAGTTAACATATAGTGTAACATTGGTTTCAGGGGATAGTGTTGTCTTGGGATTATCTGGCCAACCCTTCAGTTAGCATGGTCAGAACAAAAGCGAGACGGTGATGGGGGCGGGGGGTGGATTTCTGCCATGTGAGGGGAGATGCACGCTGGTCCCTCCTCTACCTCTGAGGTCTCCAAATGTCATGGGAAAGAACATGCATTGGCCCGTGTCTAGAATAATACAATAGCGCTTAAAACCTCAGCTAAGAGGGGCGCATGAGTGGCTGAGTCGGTTAAGCGTCCGACTTCTGCTCGGGTCATGATCTCGCAGTTTGTGAGTTCGAGCCCCGCATCAGCATCGGGCTCTGTGCTGACAGCTGGGAGCCTGGAGCCTGCTTCGGATTCTGGGTCTCCCCGTCTCTCGGCCCCTCCCCTGCTCATGCTCTGTCTCTCTCTGTCTCTCAATAATAAATAATGTTAAAAAAAAAAACAACTTTAAAAAAATAAATAAAACCTCAGCCAAGAGGAAATGAAAAGCACGAACAGAATCACTAAAGACTAGAGCAGAGTGAGATGTTGTAGTTCTGTGTCGCACGAGACGGCCCGTGGTTTCTGCACGAGAGCAGTGGCGTCCAGGGTATGAATGGTACCGTGTCCCAGCAATACGCTCCGGGCGTGCGGGTCGGTCCCATCCCTCCGGGGGGCACTCGAGAGTCACTTGTTCCTCTCCTTTGGTTTAGATGACAGCGCTTCCGCCGCGAGTAGCATGGAGGTGACGGACCGCATTGCCTCCCTGGAGCAGCGCGTCCAGATGCAAGAAGACGATATCCAGCTGCTCAAATCGGCGCTGGCCGACGTGGTCCGGCGGCTGAACATCACGGAGGAACAGCAGGCGGTGCTGAACAGGAAAGGACCTACCAAAGGTGGGCGCCGTAGAGGCACAGGGGCAGCGCTAGACTTGGTCTCGCGGAGGACGCTTGCCCTGGCGGATGCAGGCCCTCCTCAACAACGACAGAACCTCAGAAGATCAGGGAAGGGCTCTCAGCATTGCCCAAACCATCACACGAGGCGGGACAGGGTCTTTAACTTTATTTAGTTATCTTTGGCTTGACATGAGGGGATCGTTAGCCTGTGGTTACATGTGCAGGTGGCCAGAACATGCTTGTGGAGTCAAGGAGGGAGCCATCCAGGGGCCACCCACCGCTGGGAGCACAGGTTTATCTTGCAAGGCAGAGCCGAGCACAAGGAAACCCCCATGATCCTCTGGGCGCCTTGGAGTCTGTTCCACCCAGAAACTTTCTGACAACTCTCCTCTCTTTCCGTGTACTCAGCTTCTGTGCTGCCATTCTGTTCAGCACAGCCACCAGTTAATGATCCTACGCCACAGCGAAGCTCTGCCCAGGACTGGGGGCCCCCAAGGGGCAGGCCCTTCCCTGAGGAGCTCAGAACCCGCAAGCTTAGGAAGCTCCTTCCGGGCACAGCCTGCTGTGTCCTTTGAATGTCCTACTCTGCTGTCCAGGAGAGCGTAGCCAGCTACAGAGTCTGTATCTCGTGGGTTTCTGGCAAATTTATTTTTTTTTAACTTTTTTTTAATGTTTATTTAGTTTTCAGAGAGAGACAGACGGAGCACAAGCAGGGGAGGGTTAGAGAGAGAGGGAGACATGGAATCCAAAGCAGGCTTCAGGCTCTGAGCTGTCAGCATAGAGCCTGAGAGGGGGCTCGAACCCATGAACTGCGAGATGATGACCTGAGCCGAAGTCGGATGCTTAACCGACTGAGCCACCAGGCGCCCCTAAAACATTTTTTTAATGTTTATTTTTGAGAGAGAGAGAGAGAGAGAGAGCCAACACAAGCGGGGGAGGCGCAGAGAGAGAGGGAGACACAGAATCTGAAGGCGGCTCCAGGCTCTGAGCTGTCAGCACAGAGCCTGACGCGCGGCTTGAACCCAGGAACCACACGAGATCATGACCTGAGCCGAAGTCGGATGCTTAACCGACCGAGCCCAGGCGCCCCTGGTTTCTGGCAAATTTAAATCATTTCATTTCCCTGTGACGCCCGTGAGTGAAATATAAGAAAGCACTATTTGTGTTTGAAGTAACTTTGTAGTGACCCTCCTCTTAAAATTTTGCAAGTACGACGCCTCATAGAAGCTTCCTGCTAATCGTACTCGGTTGCCTGATGTCCACTTTGAACCCATAGACCTTGCTCATCTTTTACCAGATCCCCGCTCCTTGTGGCTAACTTTAGAAAACAGAATTCATCTTGGCTGTCAAATTCCTTTACTTAAAACATTGCAGATCACACTGCTATGTAAATGTCCCTTTAAAATTAGCTTTGTTTGTTTGTTTGTTTGTTTGCTCGGATTTAACGAATTATTTCACACTTTCCATGTTTTTCCTGGAGTCAGGAGAGGGTACTGTCTGATGTCACATATGCTAGTTTTCTCTCAAGTCCTTGGCTACATTTTCCCATGTCTGTAGGAAAAAATGTATTTCTTCTTCCTTCAGGGTAATCATCACCAGCTCTATGTGAGATATACTTGTGGACCACGTTGACATGTTTTCTGTAATTCTTGTATCTGAGCATAGTTGCTACATGATGTTACAATGTTACGTTAATTTCAGGTGTACAATTTCTACCTTACGCCCTGCTCACCACAAGTGTAGCTACCCTCTGATACCATACACGGATACATCTCAAAGAATCTTTTTTTTTAAATGTTTATTTATGTTTGAGAGAGAGAGAGAGAGAGAGATCGTGAGTTGGGGAGGGGCAAAGAGACAGAGTGTGAGCATGGGAGGAGCAGAGAGATAGGGAGACACAGAACCTGAAGCAGATTCCAGGCTCCAAGCTGTCAGCACAGAGCCCGACACGGGGCTCGAACTCATGAGCTGTGATATCGGGACCTGAGCCGAAATCGTACACTTAACCAACCGAGCCACCCAGGCGCCCCTCGAATAATCTTTTTAAGTACTGTTTTTCTCCTTCTAAGTTACAAAGTCATTAGGGAATTTTAAATAGAAACTAAGTTATTTTAGGTATTCTTGACCTACTCAGCTTTCCAAAAATAAATCTGATGACTACTATACCCTAAAGGGTACATTTGAAGTCGTTGCTTTATATAAAACTTCAGACTTCCAAAACGTCTATTTTTAAAAAAAATTAGGGAAAAAAAATAATGCAAGAGGCCTGCCTGTTTCTTTTCTTGATTAAGAGTAAAGTTTTATGAAACTTCCTCTAAGAGAATAGTTTCTTTTCATAGTGAGATCTGATGTGTTTTTTTTTTAATATAATATTGTTTTCTAAGTAAAAGTAAATCACGGTATAAAGCCAGAGGGTCACGCCGAGAAATAGAACAAAGGTCATAAGAAAGCTGGTGAGTGGGGTGGCATCCCCCACATGGAACGGGCCATGACTTTCCCGCCTCGTAAGCAGTTAATTACAGGACAGTGGAACTGGAGGTGGGGAGGTGGAGAAGTCGGCCCATCAGAGGCTCTGGGTCGCTGCTTTCCTTCGGGAGAGAGCCGTGTTGGTACATGTGCACCTGCCGCTGGGTAGCTGACACTCAGTAGCCATGGTTCAGTTGGGGGATCTTTCAGACCGGACGGATTTGACACAAACCTCCTCTGTGTGTAAAAGGCCGCTTCACATTATTTTAGCTTGCTGTCCTCCTACAGGTTCGAAGCAGACAGGACTCAGGGCATTCTAACTTTTAAGTATTAAGTGATGTTTCCCCCCAAGGTCAGTTGTCTGAACCTTAGGGTCCAATGTTCTGAGCTTTGGGCACCTAACTTCGTGCTGTTGACCCAGCGACAGGAATGGCGGTGCAGCAAGAAACAGGCCACGCTGGTAGGCAGTGAGCTTTCAAAGTGCTCAGCACGGCCCAGCTCGAAGGAAGTGTGTGCCGTGTCTGTGCCACAGTCACCCCGATGGGCAGACCTCAGAGTCTATACAGTAGCCCCAGGGTTGCCCGTGAGGCTGTAAATCCCTTTCCATGGTAGTACTTCACTTTGTTCGAAGGTCGAAGCTTTGACTTACTTTATTCTTCACGTTATTCTTCGTCTTCGTATGACTTCACTCGCGTAACAATGAGAACTGCCTTCTCGGGAAAATAATTCACTAACACATCAAGTTTGTGGCTTCCTGAGACAGGGGGGAGATTGTGGCCAAGCCATCAGATGCTGGGCCTGTGGACACAGAGTGTATATAGGAGGGAGCTGTGACTCACACCGCTTTACCCTGGCAACATTCTCCTGGTGCCGGGGATTTTTAACCAGTGATGCCGTCCTGGGGCTTAGGAGTTACTAAGTCTCCACCGAAGCCCCCCAGACGTTGTTATTCGTGTTTTCTTTTGCCTTTGGGGTTTTTTTAAGTATTGAGAACGGGTTGCCCTGTCACGCTTCTTACCTACAGACAACCTCAGCCCGCAAAGGTTGCCCTGCTTATGTCAGATTGACCTTCAGATGCGGAGATTTGGTATGTTTAATTTTGCTGAGCTTGGGTTACCCTGTACTGGGGAGAAGAGAATCAAATAGATTTCCCTGCTACCTAACAATGCGGTAAGAAGACCCCCGTGTATACTGATTGCTGTTGTGAGTATAAATACAGAAATGTGCTTTATGAATAAAGGAGTTCATTGCAACACCATGCATATTGGAGAATACTTGGGTAGAAAGGAGCAGAGGGAGGGGCGCCCAGGTGGCTCAGTCGTTTAAGCGACCCACTTCAGTTCAGGTCATGATCTCGTGGTCCGTGGGTTCGAGCCCCGCATCAGGCTCTGTGCTGACACAGCTCAGAGCCTGGAACCTGCTTCAGATTGTGTCTCCCGCTCTCTCTGCTCCTCCCCCACTCACGCTCTGTCTCTCTGTGTCTCTCAAAGATGAATAAATGTTAAAAACAAAAAAATTTTTTAAAAAAGGAGCAGAGGGAGTGCAAGCTACAGGGGCCGAAAACTGCAGCACTCTGTATGATCTAACACTGGGTCCTCGTTAAAAACGTTCACGTTACTGGTAGCAACAGGGAAAGCACCTGTGCATCACATTAAGCGTCACAAGCAAGATAGAAAACTGTATACACTGTAAAATTCAAGTTAATAGACAAATCTACGCAAAAAGACTGGAAAGAAGTATAACCAAGTGTTTTCATTGACTTTTTTTTTTTCCTGAGTGGTGGGATTGTGACCTTTTTTTCTTCTTTATACGTTTAGTTGGTTTCTAAATGTTCTTTGGAGTAATAAGCAGAAGAAATTTGTGTTTTAAACGTGACACTTTTCTGGGGCGCCTGGGTGCCTAGGTTGGTTGAGCATCCGGCTTCGGCTCAGGTCATGATCTCACGGTTGGTGGGTTCGAGCCCCGCGTCGGGCTCTGTGCTGACAGCTCAGAGCCTGGAGCCTGCTTGGGATTCTGTGTCTCCCTCTCTCTCTGCCCCTCCCCAGCTTGTGGCTCTGTCTCTGTCTCTCAAAAATTTATTGTTAAAAAAAAATTGGGGGGCACCTGGGTGGCTCAGGTGGTTGAGCACCTGACTTCAACTTCAGGCATCATCTCACGGTTCGTGAGTTCAAGCCCCGTGTCGAGCTCTGTGCTGATGGCTCGGAGCCTGGAGCCCGCTTCGGATTCTGTGTCTCCCTCTCTCTCCGCCCCTCCCCTGCTCATGCTCGGTCTCTCTTTGTCTCTGAAAAATGCATAAACATTAAAAAAAATTAAAGTAAAAGTGACTCCTGTTTTACCACGTAAACTGATCTTCACCTGCCCTGAGGACAGCAGCAAGGAGCAAGTGTCCAGAGGCTGGTGGCCTGTTCTCAAGAAGATAAGGAGGAGTGATTTGGAGTTAAATTCACAATAGACCCATTGTATGTATGCATGGCTGATTTCCATCTCAGTGCCAGGGGAGTGCTGTGACCTTTTAATGGAAAACGTAGTCCTTG